TCCTCCTCCTCCTCCTCCTCCTCCTCCTCCTCCTCCTCCTCCTCCTCCCCCTCCTCCCCCTCCTCCTTCTCATCCCTCCCCTTCTCTACGCTGGAACCAAAAACGAAGGAAACTGTGGAAACGCCATAGGCCAAAGAGCGGCACGACACGGAAAATATGGAGAGTGGAAGAGTGACGGAACCAAGGCAGGAAATAGGGAGGGAGAGAAAGGAACAGGAAGGGAGGACAGAAAAGGAGAAGGATGGAGGAGGGCCAGGCCAAACAGGCTGGTGGAAGGGGGAGAGTGGCAAACATAAGAAACGAAACAGACGACGCGATCGAACGAGGATGGCGCCGACGGTGGCAACAATACTCATCGCGTTGAAGATCATGCTCATAGTGTGATGCTGATGACGATGACGATGCGCATCCCCTGGGCCAGCAGCCTGGCCGTCGATAGCGTCGCAGCGGCGAGCCCGCCGCCTCGTCGCCCAACCGCGGGAACGCGGGCTGCCAGCGCCATCGCCAGCGCCTCCTGGCCAGCTTCGTGGCCAGCGCCTCCTGTCCACGCGATGTGTTCTTCGACAGCGCCCTCTACGTGGCCGGCTCGATCGGCCCGAAAACATTGCGAGCGGACCAGCTCCCCTGATCCGCGCGCACCTTCACGATGAACTTCTTGAGGGCAACCGCAGTGTCCTTGATCTTGCCGAACGCGAAGAGAGTCGCGTACTCGATGCACGTCCCCGCCGCCCCCCTGAGCTCGTCCAGCAGCGTGGTGAGCTGCTCGTTATGTGGCGTCGCGGCCCCGAACGCGATTGCCAAACTATCGATGGCGTTGGCGGTGTCACACTTGTCACGCACCTGCTGCTTCAAGGCGTCGCATGGGCAATTCCCCCCTCAAAAAAATTACCCTGTGACGTACCCAACCCATTTGTATCATGGGAAACGAGGAGTTGACCGAAACTTGCATGGACAATCAAATTGCAAGATCCGTTGTTTGATTTGTAAGCTACTTGGGACACGCGCCTATGGCATGATGCGCAGGAGAACCACACAAGAAAGAAGGGCAACAGCTACAGGCTCGAAGAGGACATGGGGAGACGGGAGCGAAGAGCAGGAGAAAGACGTGCGGGAAGCCCACTGTGCTGGGCCCCTCAGCAGCCCTCGAAAGTGGCGACAGTTTCACAACTCGCAGCCCCCCAAGGATGGCGAGGTCCCATTTGGGTCTGCGGTGAGTGCCCACTGTGCTGGGCCCCTCAGCAGCTCTCGAAAGCGGCGACAGTTTCACAGATCGCAGCCCCCAGGGATGGCGAGGTCCCATTTGAGTCTGCGGTGAGTACCCACTGTGTTGGGCCCCTCAGCAGCCCTCGAAAGTGGCGACAGTTTCACAGATCGCAGCCCCCCAGGGATGGCGAGGTCCCATTTGAATCCGCCGTGAGTACCCACTGTGCTGGGCCCCTCAGCAGCCCTCGAAAGTGGCGACAGTTCATAGATCGCAGCCCCCAGCAGCCTTTGAATCCGCCGTGAGTACCCACTGTGCTGGCCCCCCCAGCAAGCCTCGAAAGTGGCTGCAGTTTCACAGATCGCAGCCCCCCAGGGATGGTGAGGTCTAATTTGAATCAACCGTGAGTACACACTGTGCTGGCCCCCCCCAGCAGCCCTCGAAAGTGGCGACAGTTTCACAGACCGCAGCTCCCCAGGGATGGCGAGGTCCCATTTGAATCCGCCATGGGTACCCACTGTGCTGGGCCCCCCAGCAGCCCTCGAAAG